CCCCCACCCACCCAAAAGAATTTTTAAAAACCCACAAAAAAACACTAACAAAAAGCCCAACAACCTCAAACAGTGACAACTTTTAATGATGGTGAGATGGTACAGGTTTAACGCCCCTATCAACACTGTTACGTTATTTAAAAGACGGGACCTCCGAGTCTGACGTCCCTCTCCGAAAGGTCCGAGCCTAGTGGGGAATTCGTGTAAAGTGACTTACCAAAGGACACGACGTCGGACCAAGCTGAGGTTCGAACCCCCAAACCCCCAAACCAGCAATCTCACGATTACGAGTCTGGTAGCCTACCGGCCAGGCTACCGACGCCACCACACACAAGAAAAAAAAAAAAAGAAAAAAAAAAAGGAAATAAAAATTACAACAAATAAACAAAAATGTAAAAGCAAAAACCCACAAATTTGATCACGGCGAAGTGAACGGAAAAAAAAATTAAATCAGATTTACAAACCATGACGTATTCTTGAATCCAAACTCCTGTAGATTCTAACTTTAAAAGGGCTGTATTAGAGGGTGCCACTGGAAGGTCCTACTTCCTTATATTCCCTGTTGTGTGTGTGTGTGTGTGTTTGTCTGTCTGTCTATCTGTCTGTCTGTCTATCTGTCTGTCTGTATGTCTGTCTGTCTGTCTGCCTATCTGTCTGTCTGTCAGCCTGTCTGTTTCCCCAGCATCACATGCAAATGATCACTAATGTGTCGATGAGCTTCTCTTTACTCAAACAAACAAACAAACCACTGGTAGGTTCTACTTCCTTCTTCTTTACTTTTCCTTTGTTGTTTCTGTCTGTCAGTCTTACTTTTTCCCAGCACTAAATTGTGGTGGGTAGTTGGCGGGTGCTCTGGTGTGGTTTTCTCCTTCTTTCCTATCAAACTACTATCTTCTTTATCTCTGCTCCTTCTTTTTTATGATTTTTACTCTCTTGTAACACCTCTAATCTTGGGCTCTTATATTATTATGACCTTTTTGTGTTGCAAGAGCCGTAAAACGCTTACTTAAATATAAAACAAAGTAAATTATGACGAATATTGTGTCGATGTGCGTCTCTTTACTCAACAACAACTACAGCACCTTAAAATACAGTGAAATCCGCTTTAACCGAAATTTACGAGACCGCTAGACTTTCTTCGGTTTAGCCGGGTTTTCGGTTTAAAGAGGGTGATCAGTCAAATGGGTGGTTGTCGGGTGCTCTGGTGTGGTTTGCTTCTTTTTTCCTATCAAACATCTGTCATCTTTATTTACCCTCCTTCTTTTTTGTGTTTGTTACTCTCTTGTAACACCTCTAATCTTCGACACTTACATGACCTCATTGTGTTGCAAGTGCCGCAAAACACTTAGTAAAACAGCGGGTGCTCAAATACCCTGAAAACACACAAGATCCCACCCAGTTAGGCCATCCAGCTTGTCAGAGACCGAAAGTCCTTTCTCCTCTCGACAGCATAGATAGTACAAGAGGAAAGATAAAGTAAAGGAAGTAAGTAATCTAAAATAGAAGGGAACAAAATTGGGACCATTTCGGAACTTCACTGTCACATTTAAAGATGGTACTGACTTATTTGGTTGGAGAATAGGCATCATTGCAGGCGGTACAATGCCATGGCTGCTCCCCCCTCTTCTCCATAAACCATAAAAATGGGTCTGCTTGCTGATTGTGCCTGTGGGGGGTTGGCGGGTGCTCTGGTGTGGTTTGCTTCTTCTTTCCTGTAACACCTCGGTCTTGGGAGGCCTGAGAAAGAAGGCCTGGAACAGAAGACCCTCAAGATCTAACGTTACGCAGCCACCATGGGGGAGCAATGAAATCGATTGGCTGTGGCAAGAGAAGAGGAATGCTGTTAAGGACTGGCAAAGAAAGAGGAAGAACCCTATTGTCACAGAAGAAGAAAGGGAGGCAGCTAAAGAGAAGATGAGGCAAGCCCGAGATAAGTTTAAAGCTGAAGCAGATCTGGCCAAAACAGCAAAGTGGGAAGAGTTTGTTTAAAACGTTGCCGCCGAGAAGGCACTCTCAACATTCTGGAAACTGCGTAAGAAGATGTGAGGACAGGGAGACTCAAAAACCACCGTGAATTTGAAGAACGAGTCAGGAAAGACACTCCAAACTGATGAGGAGAAAGGGGGGGCTTTCTTGGACCGATTCATCCATCAAACACACCAGGGAAATATTGACTCAAGAAAGGAAGTTGAAAGAGATGTTTCTAGAGTGCTGACACCAGAAATGTAGGCAAACTACGAGGATGCGATATCTACAGAAGAGGTTTCCAGAATGATCAAACATGCCAAGGACAGTGCTGGAGGGCCGAATGGTGTAAGATATTGCCACATGAAAGAAGCAGATGATGAGATGATTGAAGGAATAACAAACGAATTCAAACAAGAGCATTGGCACTGGTGAAATCCCTGAAGAATGGTTGCACAGCTGGTTGATACCAATCCCCAAACCAGGAAAAGACC